TGTCCAAGCTTCTCAGCCCTACAGAAAAATTGGTCATATGTAACAAAGGATATTTCAATATGCAATAACGTATATTTGAGAAATATTCGTTTTCTAAAGTTTTTCATTGGATCGGTGTAGCTCGTTCTGTAACCGGATCTTACAACTATGAAATTGTATTTTAAATAAACAAAAATCGAGGAAGAAAAATATGAAATTCAATACGATAATAAATAATACAATTTTAAATATTGCTTACGATTTTCATTTCGAAAAGCTTTCAAACATTAACTTGCCTCCGGTGTATTGCGGAACAATGTCGAATTTCCGATTGTGGTACATCAAACGATGGTTATCCTTTGAACTCATCTCAAAGTGTATTTTTCATTTAAAGTCAATTATTCGTATTCTAATACTGCTATTTATTCTAGATATTTGCCATAATTATAAACACAATATCCATAAAGTAATTATTGTAGTAATTAATAAATTACATTTTTAATCGATTTTGTCTAATTTTATAATTAAGTTATAAATATCTGTAAATAGTAATATCGGTTTATTTTATTTTTTTATACAAATAATAATAATAGTAACCAGTAATAAAAGAGGTTGTATTTATAAACAAATAAAGGTAATCAAAACGTATTTTTGGACAACTTGGTATGAAGTTAAAAATATGTAAGAATAGTTTGATACCGCCGCTATTATTTCTATTCCTAACTATTCGATGATTCAATCGATAAGACTTGGTAACTTACTTCAAGCCTGGTACACAAGCTCCACGTCGCTCAACGAAGTATGGAACGTCGCTCAACAAAGTATGGAACGTCGCTCAAAGAATTAGGAATGAAGATATCCGTAGAAGAAGGAGAAGCAAGCGTTGTAGCGGCACAATTTGTTTTTTTATAACATATAACCTCCTACCTTCCAAAACCTTTCAGTTCAAGTTTACACACAATATTAACTTTGAACGCAAAACAAATTATATTAATTACCACAACGAAAATATCATTGATAAGGGGAGGAACACTCAGAGACAAAAATCGCATTACCAGTAATAAATACACATAATACTGCAGTATATTATGTGTATTTTATTATTGCAGTTATAGTACTACGTAATATCTTAAAATAGTTAAGGATAAATTAAATTTTGTTTTGTCTCAGCGTCATATAAGGATTAATTTCCCACGGTTTGTAATTTTAGTCTTATATTATTATTGAAGTAAGTAACAGTGCAATGAAATGTAAGTGATAATTTAAAATTATTCATAAGCTTTTGTTATGTTCATGTTACCACCGATTATTTCTTAAATATAATAATTTGATATTAATAATTTAATCTAGTAATGGTAGATCTTTACTAATTAGCATTTTACGTTATAAAAATCTTCATTCTATTTGGGATTGTTTAAGTGTTGAAATAATCATAATAATCAAATTTTCTAATCTCTCCAGCCTTTATAGTGCTCTTGGTGACGATATGTATGCCTGCTCTGGGATATTACCACGAGCCCAGTATGACAGTTATCTCCACTGAAACCCTTGGATTGAGAAAGCAAGCTTTGTTTGGATATAGTACAACCTACCAGGATCAACACAGGCGGTACGTTAATTGTTTTAAAGTTACGCGCATAATTAATTATCACAACATGTATTATAAAGGTTAGTCGACGGAGACCGAAGAGCTGGCCACTACCTCGGACAAAAAATAATAAGTCTAGCTATTCAAAGGGGGAACGCTGCCAGTATCTTTGGAACCTTGCTTAAAGGGACTTCTTTTAGTGATATTTTTTTAAGGTTGTTAGTTTTAGATTTAAATAATGTTATTTTTACGTTGCTTAATTAATGTAGTGTTAATCAACTAGCTATTGATCAATAATAAATAAATGTATAAAAATAAAAATACGTATTACATTTAGCTATGAAATAGTAGGCAAGCATTCTCATGAGTGTTTCATTGCAGGTTAATTGTCGGCGCACCACGGGCGGACGATATAGGGAAAATATTTTATATTGACATTAATTCTGGGAATATTAAGGAGACACAGTTTATCGTTATGCCACAAAGTAAGTATTTCCTTAAACTCATTTTGGTTATAACATCCTAAAACAATGTTTGATTAATCAAATACATTACGGATATTTTCTTCTCTCTGACTTGGAGTATAGGGGCTCTACAAATTCGGTAAAATATTAGTTGATGTTATTGTTTTCTTAGAACAATTCCTCAGCTTTTGATAAAACAAGTGACAGTTTCCGCTGTATTACACTAATTAATTAAAAATGTTAATTTAAAAGCAAAATATATTTGTTTAAACAACTAATTTGTTGTATAATACAGACTAACTAATTAATTTAATGTTCACAGATTACAGACAAAACTTAACGCAGGATTATTGGCTTGGAGCCACAGTTAGCTCCACTAATTCCTATTTTATAGTAAGTACCTAAGTAATATTGCTAAATTCATAGTTTTGTCAGCTATCAATACCATGAATACCAAAATCGAAGCATCCAACATAATGTTCTCCAGGCCGACGGCAACGGCGGCTTATATCGATTATCGACTTGTTTTAGTAATAGTATGCGCAGGGAACCTATTTAAGTGTTCATATTACTAATCAATCAATGGACTGTATTTGTCTGATTAATAAAAATTATTATAAATTATTATTATTATTCAACGCGCTGGGGTATTAAAACATCGCTTATTTTTAAAAAAATCTTAATTTTTTTATGACAATTGCGTATATAACATAGATCCTACATATAAAGATATTATAACAATACTTAGGGATTTATTAAAACGCCGTATGCAGTATGATTATTAATTAAATATACAGTATAATCCACATGTGGTAGGTGGTATATATCCTATTTGTATAAATGAATCTTAATACTAAATAATTCCGATTAGTCTTTCCTTTACATAAAAACTTTGCGAAAGTATTTACAATATTTATTTCATTTAGACCACCTAAAATGGCACTTTCGAACGTCAAACAAAATACAAAGAAGATTCTAGTTGCCCCTTCCAAAAGGTAGTTTCGTGTGGAGAAGAATGGACAAGAAACTCCACACTTACTCTTTTAAAATAGGTTTACAATATTTTGTTTACATTAGTTTAGAAATAATTATATAAGACAATGTACTCTAAGAATAAAACTACTATATTAAAAAAGTTAGTATACATGTTCCTCACATATTTACAAATATCGAAACCGTAGAATATTATACATTAAAGAATAATAGAAATAATAAAAAAAACACGATAAAACAGTGTGTGAGATAATGTTATGTTTCAGACATGTGCCCCAAGAAGCTTAGATTTTGATTACAGTGAGTGTTTGATTTTGTTGTGTTATCTACAGCTAATTATGATAGTAATGCTATGTTAGGAATGCTAGTTACTGTGATTTCGCAGATTATTTATTTACTATAAAAGATTAAAATAATTGAACTCAGTTAAAAAAATATCTGCGTAATAGCCATGGATTTCATAACAAATTTTACGTAAATTTAACTTTAATTAAAAAATAACAATTTACCTTTTTTCGCTTATGTTAGAATTAAAATGATATAAATCTATTTAAATAAACAATTTAATTTTCACATTTCATTTATGAAAGTTATAATAAAATGTATATTTTCAGATGCAATGTATAAAACATCAGAATGTTACTTTGGAAAAACGCCAAATGCGCTTTATTTGTTGCCGAAACTTGACGATGGAATGTTGGGAAGTTTTAGTAAGGGCTTCTAATAATTAGATAACAATTTATTATGCATATAAACAAATTCAAATTACATCATGAAAACTATATAGGTTTTGATAACACTGATATGGGTCCATTACCCCAAATCAGAAACAGAAACATTTCTTTCTCCGTTTCAATTTAATAATTATTATTTAGAGTTAGTCCTGTTTGGTTGGTTGGTTTTTGGGTCTAAGCCTTCATCCTTACTTAACAATTTTTTTTAAATAACACGTAGTAGCCAATCACTGCATTATAAAACTTTCATATCAATATATGACGAGCTTAGAAGATGAGATGGAACCAGTTGGAGGAGGCCTATACTGTATAAGAAGTCTTTGGAAAATATATTTATTTCTGTATAAAATTTTAAGTGTATGTACCTTTTGTAAAGATGGAAGAAGTTGCAAGGAGGCCAATTATTATTCTGTATAAGAAATCCTTGGGTAGCAAAATAATTTGTATTTACTTAAAAGGGTTGTGCAAAATTTTAAGGGCCAAGCGTAAGTATGAAGTATGAAGTATTATGAAGTATATCCCTTATGTCAAATGACGACTCATTGGTCTAGTGGTTAGTACCCCTGACTGCGAACCATGGCTCCCGGGTTCGATCCCCGGCTGAGACGAACATCGATGTTTTGAGCATTTGGTGTTGTGCTTAGGTCTTGGGTGTTTAAATATGTATTTATATGTCTATCTATAGTTGCCTAGTACCCATAACACAAGCTTCACCAGCTTAGCATGGGACTATGTACAAAAAAAAAATGTGGCCGATATGTTTGTACGTACGTACGTATTCACATACTGGGCCTATGTATTATTTAAATACATTTGAGTACCCGAACCTTTACTGCCCTGAATAAAAAACCTGCTTTACATTTCAGACGGACACATTACCACATTCGGATGGAGCATTGCCTCAAACTCCATGATATTAATGGGCAGTCCTGGGAGTCAAGTTGGTAAACAAAACAATACATTTTCAAAGTATCAAATTTCCTACATTTTAAGGCACTTTCGTAGTGAAGCCAAGTGCCAATTCAAGTACAGTCGACTCTCGATAATTTGATAATTGGTCCCTTCGGTAATTTGAAGTTGAAAAAGTATCTTGCTCGCCAACATGCCATAATTTGAAATCCGGTCTTCCCTACTCTCTATAATTTGAAGCGTTTATCATGCACATACCTGTCGTTTGTTTACGTACATGCACAGACTTGTCTTGATAAAAAATTGTGAATAATTGTTATAATAATTGTTAATACATAATAAGAATATAGAAATAATAAGTAACAAATTTTGATCAAATTTCCTTCAGTCGCCCCTCCCCCTCGTGGTTATTCAAACACTTGTTATTTGAACTCTTGATAATTTGAAATTTATCTCTGGGGAGTATCAAATTATCGAGAGTCGACTGTATAATAAATAAAAAATAAATCAGTGGCGCTACAACCTTTTTAAGTCTGGCTCTCAGGTTTCTGTATCTGTTTCATGATTAATTGTCAATCTAATAGGCAAGTAAGTGATCAGATCCCCATTATTATTTAATTTTCTGTTTCCTTCGGATGTTGCTAATAATCTCTTTAACGCCCGAACACAAAACCTATCTTAATCCGTAATCCACCATCTGATATAGTAATTTAAATCCCAATGTAGTAAAAAGTGTGCCAATAACCAATCGGCGGATTGTAATAGCCATCTGTCGATACAAGCTAGTCTGTGGATAGACCTTTGTATGAAAATGGCAGTTGACGAAAGCTCGATTTCAACAGTTAATTATTTTAACAGATTTTAACTTACACCAGTTTTTTAAATAATATAAAAAAAACTGTTTGTTATGTTTTAAACATACACATATTGTATATTTTATATGTTATATGTACGGTTTCATTTACTTTGTTATATATTGACTATCAAATATGAGTGAAAACTCGGTAAAATGGAACGACAAAGAGCATTTTATCCGTCGCGAAAAATGGATTGTTTTCGTAGGGTTTGGTTATTGGGATGCAGATATGAGATCGATCGACTGTCACGGTCTGATTGAAAACAATCTGAGATTGTGGATTGATTATTGGGTTCGGGCGTAAAAGAACTTAAGATGTAGTTTTAATACTTCGAAATATGACTGTAGCACTCTTAGTAATAAAGATGCCAATCTCGGATCTGATAGTCATCTTCATGATTGTTGTTACCGTTTTCTCAGAGCAAATATATTTATAGGTGGCGCCGTATTATGGAACCCACTCAATATTGATACACTAGGAAATCCTGAAATCATCTTTAATAGGCATAAATATCCAGGCTTCGGTAAGTACTTTATATCCATTTTTAGCTACGCTAAGCTGCCGAAGCTGTCGGCAATATACAAAAAATGCTCTTTATTTGGTAAAAAATGTATTCTAATATTCATAATATTTTTTTAAATATATTTTAATTTCAGGTTATAGTGTAATAATTGGCAAGTTCCTGTCCGACAATGTTTCTTTTGTCATCAGCACTACGTATGGCGATTATGGACAGGGAAAAGTATATCATTTCTCTCATATTTAATTATTATATTTAAAAAAAACATTAGTCAATTACGTTCCGACTTAACCGGTAATGTTCTTATGAAATTTGGTAAAAGGTTTACTAGTTTTTTATTCGTTATTTACCCACGACTAATTTATAAGGTTAAGGCGATTTAACGCGAATAAATAATACTTATATTATTATTATATGTTCTATAATAAATACTTCTAAAAGAGTTTTTTAAAATCTTATCAATTAAAAGTTCAAAATTTTGTTCTACAATTTCGAGTAGATAAGAGCTTTGCAAAAGCTTTTTTTAATAAGCTATTCTGATGATGACTTTAATATAAGGTTGTTGCGTCTAATAATGCAATATTAGGGCTACAACTACTGTAACCAACAAATGAAGTTTTATCATTCTTTTCAGAAAATTGTAGGTACTTAGAATTGATTACAGAATAGACGTGCTTGTCCATTCCAAAGTTTAGCCTCTATTAGTCTCTTAAAAATTTTATTACAGATACTTTTCTACGGTAGAAGACCATATCTTGGATACGCCTTAGAACATGAACTGTCGGATGGCGAGGTTGGGTCAAAGTACGGCGCTGTAATGACAGCGGCAAATCTTGGTGGCGCCCGCCCAAGCCTCCTTGTGGGCGCACCTACGTTTAATGAAGGTTCCGGTTTTGATAGAGGCGCGGTGTACTTGTATTTACAGAATTATGATACCAACGTTAGTAACATAATTTTAATATAGAAATGTTTAACATTCTGTATATAATTTAGTATATTCCCATGCCGTTTGAATTGATGTAACGTTTTATACTAAATTGTATGACTTTACTGTTAACTGGAAACTTAATTGAATATTTATGACCATAGATTGTAATACATCTATAATAATATACCATGTATTACAACTTTAGTAGTTCGAAATTTGAATAATTAATAACATCAGTAGTAGCTTATTGGTTGGTCTGCACACGCTTTTCACACTACCACATATTTGGTATGTTATATAATGTTTCAATCCTAATCAAAATTATTTTATTTACCTTAACTTTGTAATGTGCTAGCTGACCCGGAACGTTGATATGTTATATAAAGATTATCACAGTAGAGATGTCGCTACTATTATTATTAACTTTAAATAACTATTTTTAATGCTTTATAATAAAAAATTAAACCAATTGTCCAAAGATATGAAAAAAATTGGGGTGAACAACCCTTCACATTTTAAGGAAAACAGTTTACAATCTATTCTCAGACCTACCAAATACAAATAAAATCATAAAACAGAATCAAGACGTTTCTATGTAAATGTGATTCCGCAGATATTATCGCTAAAAAGAATAGTGACAGGAACAGAAAATGGTGGATATTTCGGCGCTGCAATAGTTAGTGTTGGTGACATGGATGGCGATGGTCTCGATGGTAAGGATAGTATATAGTTTCTTTAATGTACATAAGTAGGTTTATGTAAAACTTATAAATGTATATGCGCGTGACTCTCATTCCTGAAATCGTAAGTTCGATCCCTGTACACCAATAGATTTTCTTTCTATTTGCGCATTTTAACATTCGCTCGGATGGTGAAGGAAAACATCGTGAGGAAACCGAGACTCAAAAAGTCGACAGCGTGTGTTTAAACCCAAATTTATACACTCGTGTTGGTGCAGCCAGTTTATTTTTATATAAATAATTGTATTCTTACCTCAATCAAATATGCAGATAGAATTATTACTTCCATTTATTTTTTTAGATTGGTCATTGTCATTCAAGTAAGAAAGAAGTTTCATACAATATTTCTTTAAAGAAATATATCTAAAACAGCGTCCGGATATAAGTGCTAAAGATGTTCGTTGTTATACCTTTCTTCCCACCGCTTCTACTGTTACCTCGGCCCTTTTATTTACAACAAACTAATTCGCAAGCTGAATATTCACTTACTCTTATCCTTCAGTTGTAAAAAAGAAGGTTACTGCCTACATACAGGGTCTCAACTATGATGAGACTGAAAACTTAATCCAACCAATGGTCTAACTTACAAATTATAGCTTATTTTTGATTTACTATTTATTTTTATACTTATTTATGTACTGTTATCTATTTATCTAAGTACTAATATATACATATTTATCTAAGTACTAATATATATATATATATAATAATATATATAATAATTAGCACGGATGTTATATCGGCGCGATTGCACACCTACATATTTTAATTAGGTACCTCTTTTCTCCATGTTACATCTGTAAAATGTCCTTATTAATAATTTACTCTTGTTACTGGCTACTTTTTACACCATGTGGGGAGAGGCTGGTGGTCTGAGATACAAGCCCTGCTTAGTTCAGTCACCAGTCTCTCACAATCTTATAATGTTTCCTTGCGACAATATATTTGTTTCTTAATATTTAGTTAATATCAATGTAAGATTGTGGAGAAAAATAAAGATTTTTCTTCTTTTTCTTCTTCTTCTTTCTTCTCTATTGATTTAAAGTTGCATCTTAACTTGACAGATAGAATATACTCAATTCTTTAATATTATGTCATCTAAGATGTAAATCAAAATTAAAATAATTCAAGGATTAGAATACGGATTTTAGTTTAATGAAACTAATATGTTTAAAAATACGATCAATAAATCAAATGAAATAATTTTTTTCTTCAACCTATTTTAATAAAAATTTCAGAGGTGGCTATAAGTGCTCCTTATGAAAGCGGGGACAAGGGTGTAGTGTACTTGTACTCCGGCGCAGGTTTGATTGCGGGTAGGAAGTGGTTTCAGCGAATACAACCAGCTGGTTTTAACACTTTCGGCTTGAGCCTCACGGCGATGGACAATCTTTCCGATAATGGGTGTAAAGGTACATATATTATGTAAAGTAATTATAATGATTTTGCATAACTTTAAAAACCTGTTTAATTTTTATTTTTTAACCAAATAAGTTGCCATTACGGGTCACCAATGCGGCAATTATCTACATTTATATTCATACAAAACAATACACACACCTACATATACAAAAAAGTTTCAGCAGTTTCCATACTAAATTCATATCCGCAATACACGGACCGCTCGAGCAGTTCCTGAGCGGTCGGAGCAGTCGCTCTGCGGTCGAGTTTCGCCGTGCGGTCGACTGCTTAGAGCTGCCGGACCCACCATACACGGACCGCTACAAGCGGTTGCTGCCGACCGCGCGCCACTCCCTCAAATAAAATAAAATACTAACTAATTCATCAAATGAAACCACGGACATTCTAAAGTAGTTGAAAAACTTTTTAGTGTCTTCTCTCAGCTGGGGATACAAAGTATGAAATATTCCATGCTGTTCTCTTGATTGTAGTATTGGACGCACCCACATACTACGGTGTCTTCTACGCCTACGCTTGCGTAATAGTAGTAGTAGTTCAAGTAGCAGTGTTTCTTCATCGAAATCCATCTTGTAAATGAACTCGCATCAGTATTATTTTGCGGTCGAACACAAATGCTCCAAGCAGTCGTCTGCGTTACGCGACCGCTCTACAGCACTCTGGACTGAAATTTGCTAGGCAACCCATATGGATTATATTTATTGACATATTAAATTAAATATAAAATACGTTTCATTAAATAAGCATCTCGTTGTATATCGGGATCTTAGACCATGAAGTTTTTTGTGAAATGACATGAAGTACATAAATGGTTAGTTCATAGTAATAGTCTTTTAAGATTAATAAAAGGATTTTTAATGATTTTAGGAATAGCCATTGGTGCTCCGGGCAGTAATAAAGTGGCAATATTTCGAGGCATACCAGCAGTTACTGTAACGTTGTTCACAACATTTCCCAATTTACAGGTATGTAATAATACTCTGTGATGGCTGTTATACTTTCTTATTATATAATAACCTAATTAATACGTTACTATCTATATATACTATACAATGGTCTCACTGAAAATCAGTTATGTGGTCCCAAGACTTGCTCGAGTGTCGGCTAAGAAACACTGCGCACAAAACGTTCATTTTCCTTTCTTTAATATGGGCCTCAAAAGTGTTTTGATATTTTTGCATAGACATGTCAATGCTTTTTCGCAATTGGCGCACAGCCGGGATTTGAATGCACGATCTCTGGGTCATGAGTATCAAGCTTAAGTCAACGTTGCTTACAGCTTATATAACAATAAGCTAATCTGTGAAATACGTAAACGTTAAAACATTTCTATAAAAACGAACATTTTACAAATAATTTTTAAATAAAAAACAGTATAATAAAATGCACGTCCTTGCTAAAGATATGGTATTAGTTATTTTAATAACACTATATGTCTGCACAAATAATTATCTGTCCTTATAAAATGTAATAATTGTATCATTACAGAAACGTCAAGATAAGACAGCGTTTCAATTTAGCTCTGGATTGAAAATTCAGTATCCAACAAGCTTGAAGACCTGTGAGGCTAGTAAGTATAACAACTAGTGCGTCGTTATACATAAGCCACTACTAATGTGTAAGAGCACAGAGCAGTGTTGGCCTAGTGACTTCAGCGTGCGACTCTCATACCTGAAGTCGTAGGTTCGATCCCCGCCTGTGCACCAATGGACTTTTATTCTATGTGCGCATTTAACATTTGCTCGAACGGTGAAGGAAAACATCGTGAGGAAACCGACATGTATTAGACCCAAAAAGTCGACGGCGTTTGTCAGGCACTGGAGGCTGATCACCTACTTGCCTATTAGATTTAAAAATGATCATGAAACAGACTCAGAAATCTGAGGCCAAGACCTAAAGAGGTTGTAGCGCCACTGATTTATTTTATTTTTAATATGTAAGACGTAAATCAAACGTATCTAAAAGAAAACAAATGTAGTTTTCTGCTGAATTTACGACGTGATACCATACAGGTGGAATTATTAATCCACTCCAAACAATGGAACTAGCGAATATGCGAAACAAACATTCTTTCATTTTTAAATAAAACTTAACTGCATTCGAACATTTTAGAAATAACCACTGTCCCGGGAAAAAAACCGGCTGAAATCAAAAAAAAAATCTTCTTTCTATCAATCAAATCTTTGTAAGAAATATGGATAATTTAATAATAAGATATCAACAAAATTAAAATTATTTTCATAAAAGAATATATTGACTAGTTAGTTTTCCGAAATGCGCCATTTTCTTTGCTACTCAAATATCATGCAAGTTTAAAAATTGATTTAAAGTTATTGAAATTTACTTTTTTTAAATCTGATGTTAAAATTTACACCGCCGCTTGTGGTGACTTAATGTCACAGCTCGCGAGGGCGTGCCGGATTTTAAATTTAATTATATTTAGTAACCACGCTACTTTATTACACTATTTAATCGTTGACCACGAAAGCAGTAGAAGTGTATATATGTACATAATATAATGCATTCGCGTTTATATCCGATTTATTTGAATGTGTCACTTGCGTAAACAAAAATATTCACTGATAATATTCTTCCAATTAGTTATTTCAACAAAGGACAGCCTTGTCTGTAATAATAATAATAATAATAATAATAATAATAATAATAATAATAATAATAATAATAATAATAATAATAATAATAATAATAATAATAATAATAATAATAATAATAATAATAATAATAATAATAATAATAATAATAATAATAATAATAATAATAATAATAATAATAATAATAATAATAATAATAATAATAATAATAATAATAATAAGGATTATTCCTCTTCACAATATTGCATTTTACGGATTTACATCCTGCAGCCTATAAGATTCTAGAAGTCGTGTGGTAACAGGTCACTAGCCTTGCATTGCGGACAGATACAAACAAATAACTACATGCTATGACTAAACTAAAGTAACAAAACTAAAGCATGAGTGGTTGTGGGTGTGTGAATTAAGCGATGATGCTGTTTTTCTTTACAGATATATCAGTAACAATCGAAGTGATGCATCCCAGTGCAAAGTTAGCAGATGCTAATTCGGATGGAAAGATAATTTTCTTTAAATCATTGGAAACAAAACCAAGTGTCTTAAATAAAGCTGTCAAAGTATTAACACCGATTGTAAGTGTTTTTAATAATCTTTAAATATACAAGTAATCTGAAAGTTCCTGAAAATAAACTACAAAAGAGTTGTTGCGTATAATAATAGTATTTTCACCCACGCATAAGAAACTTAATCGACTATTTTTAAAGATTTTTAGTCAAATTTAAAGGAATACGATCGTCTAGTTCAGATTGTAACAGTAACCCTTTAATCTAACTTCATGCGTCCGGACCTATATATGCAATAAAGTATAGCTTGTTCATGCGATGAAGAAAAACATCGTGAAGAAAACACGTGTACTTAAGTTTTGTATTAACTCAATTATAGATCTTTGAAATTTTAAATGAATATTTTTGGACACTCTAATTATATTAACCTTACCTACATTTGATCAATTATTATGGCAATTTCTGCATAATTTATTTCGTACCTCTACAGCTAATTTATAGTATATTTGTGCTTTTAGGGAGGTTATTACAACCAGGAGATTTCATACAAAATATCGGCCAGCTTGGTTAAAACGCCATCTCAGCAGACGGAGTTCAGACCATCTCAAGTGATGCTGAGTGAATCGAGTATTTTGACTCTCTTCGGATCTGTGTCAGCGGTGGATTGTGAGGGGACTTGTACTCCGAACCTTAAAGCTAGCTTGGCAACTGCTATAGCGTGAGTAAACGCCTTAGCTTAACTTATTAACTGGACTTGGTGTTAATCACGACAAATTCTATTAAATTTTTGATCAATAGATTTTATACAGCTGTACTACTCACGGCACTTAAGGTGATAAGAGTCAATAGTTGGGCAGAAGTAGATTTTCTCATTGAACTTTTTTGTAATTATTGAAGTGAAAACTTCTTTAGCGGCGTTGTACACTTTTTTTGGAATGGGTAAATAATGTTAAACTCACGTCAGGACACGTGACCTGATCGAAAATTCGTAAGACGGATGGAGACTAGACAGCTGGCGCGGCGTATTTAATGTAATATAAATTGTCATGTTTGTGTACGATAGCGCAATAAATAAATATTGTATTCTACCACATAAATGATAGTTCTTTAGTGTTGATAATTAAAGCAATTCGTGCAAAATTATTCCCTAACCATTTCAAAATATCAAAAATGCACATTCAAGTTTTCACTTCTGCCGGCACTCCCGGAGTGCAACCCGTCGTTTTTTTCTTATTTAAACATATCTCTCTCTCTCTCTCTCTTCAGTCGGTAGAACATGTCCGAGCGTCGTGGTCAGCAAGGAAACATTTGGAGCGGACAATCTGTTTTCACCGGTTTCTATCCGCCTCTCTTATAACACTGTATAGTTAGTAGGACGATAAGTCTTTCACTTGATCGGTCCATCTGGTTGGTGAACGGTAACGTGATCTTTTGCCTTCTGTGTTACTAACCACGATCAGTTTCTCCAAGTTCTTATCGCCTCTGCGCATTGTATGGCCGAAATAAGATGTAATTTGCTGTCGGTATATGGTAGACAGGCGAGTATATGCGGAGTTGGGTCAGGATCGATGTATTGGAGCGCTTCGCAGTCTACGGCATTCTAGGGGTTCTTAAATTGTAAGGGGTTTCGTAATAAATAATATATATTAGTTGATATTATTGAATTAATATTTAAACTTAAAAAATCATAAGGTTCCAATTACACAATGCGAAATATGATGGGGCAAAGTAAAATCCAGGACTGAGATTGCAGCATCACAATGTGCGTAATTTTCATAGTATAATTCTTTCAGTCGTCCGTACATATCAGGTTCATCGGCGAATGAAACAATATCGATATCTGTGAGAAATGACGGCGAAACTGCGTACACGTCCTGTCTTGTTATGCGTGTGAGTCCTGTCTTGGTGTTAAAGACTCCTGAGGATTGTGTTCGGGCAATAGGTGCGGAGGTCCTGACTTGCAAACCAAGAGCTAGTTTGGGAAATGCAGCGACTTGGGTAAGAGAGACAATCACAATAGTAATAAACACGCGTGTTTCATGTTTATTATTATGATCATTTCTTTTTATGAAAAAGAGTTTTTCAAATTTCCTAATATCTCCCATGTGGCATACACGTGTATGTTTTAGTTATATATTTGTTTAGTTCTACTACCATTAAGCCATAAAAGCATAATCTTATTCAATATCTGCACTTGGCATCTTACGCTTAAATTATGTGAATTTCACAATTAAGCTACATATTTTTAAGTTAAAAATATAAAAAAAACTAGTGGCGTTACAAACTTCTAGGTTCGATTTCTATATCTGCTTTGTGATCATTTGTTTAATTGGAAAGTAGGTGATCAGCTTCCTTTGCCTGACTCACGCACATTTTGGGTCTAAGATATGCCGGTTTTCTTACTATGTTTTCTTCACCGTACTATCGAGTGTTAAATCTGTACATAGACAGAAATTCGAATGGTGCACAGTTTAAAATCACCTCTGTTGCATAATGGGTAACATACAATGCGAAAAAGCCGTAGTTTTTGTTTGCTGAACTTACCTGCCTCTCTATAAATAAAATACATATTTAGCCACAAATCCTTAGATTTAGACTGCATATCTTCTATCATCCACATCCTTCCAGCCCGGTTCAATAAAGGCCGGTAACGTACTTGCGATACTTCTGGAAATCTGATGTTATTTGTGCAGTCGTGTAATGTATCACTTAACATCAAGTGAGCCTCCTACCCGTTTGCCTGCTTTTAAAAAAACAGAAGTCGCGAGTATCAATTCTTATGTTTTTAGAATACTGGTGACATAACTCTGGAAACTAGTACTTTGACAAACGCAGACGAATCGATTATAATCGAATATGACATTTATGACCATTGTGAAAAGCAATCTAATAGTACAAGGAAACATTATGAAGAAATTTTCGTCGTTCAAACTGTTAGTGATGGTATAAGCATAGAAGGGTGAGGTTTATTCATTGTACTAGATTACACTTCTTTTTGGTAAATATCGTGTAAAATTAATGCAATATCCTAAAATGTATTGCACAAAGATCAGCCAGCAGGCTAATCCAACCATCGGACATAAGCCTCAACATTATCAAATCAGTTTGGTTTTCTAATACGTCCGTTTTCCGAGCGTTATTTAATGCAATGTTTACCGCGCACCACCACTATGTGAAACCAGCTGTAGTATTTCCGACCCCATTTGACTCAGGGTCCTTCAAGAAGAGAGCGTACCATTAAATAAAGCCGGCAACGATATCCTGGCATTAAGTGTCCATGGCCGGCGGTATCACCTACCATCATGTGAACTTTTTAGAACCGGGCAGGTCTTTGTTCTATAAAAAAAGTACACATGTCAGAAGTGAAACTTCTTTGGCAAACTAATTTTTAAGTCTTGTTCATATTTATACAAATCTACTTACCTACTTTAGATTTCCGAGGCTTAGAGGGAGGGAAAAAGTAAGATATGTTAGGAATTTAATGAATTTCATTGTCATTAAAATATTAAGTGTCGAAAATTCATACAAATTATTAATTTAATTTTTTAAATTTATTTTTCGATAATAAAAACACGTGGCATTTTAATTTACAATGCGTCATTTGAGAATTCAATAAATTATTTTGAATAAAATATAAAATCCTACTACATATTTCATTACTTCTCTTTATTTTAAAAATAGAATTTCTATATGGTAATTCACTCTCTCTCAATCGGTCTCAATCGCGCTCTCCCTTTTCTTCGACAAATACACTGCACATCTTCGTCACGTATCCGAAAAAAAATCACCTCAAACTTCTAGAGAAGTTTCACTTCAAAAGGAAGCGCTTTTAAATCGATATTGCGATAATAGCAGGTTAATGCAATTATTAGTAGATAATATGAAGTAAGTAGATAAGATTTCAAACATCAAGCGTCCGAAAAGTACGCGGCAGGTTTGAATATGATTTGCAAATTTTTCCAGGACATCGAACTCTGAAGAAATAGTAAACGTCACTTTACGAGATGTGGAAGTTGGGAAGCATTTGGAACACGTGTACAAGGTATGTAAAAATTGGTATTACAGTTACAAAATCGAACTTCTGTCTTCAAAGCTCCAATAGTTATTGAAATATAGTCTTGAGACATTATATTTATTAAATGTACATTTCTTATAGTCGTAAATCGTAAAAAAAAAAATTTAATGCATTATTATCCAAATGCTATTAATCATATATGGCCAATTCTCTCAGGATTATCTTTATAATGATTACTGTTTAAATAATTTATTAATAATCAAAATTAGCAATGCATGAACTTTTTAAATTTATTAATAACAACTTTTATTATCAGTGAATCATTATCATGTAAATGATTACTTAATCGATCCTACTGCTTGGAAAAAGTTATATTTTTTCTGCTTCTGTATATATATGATATTGTTGGAATTGGAAAATATGTCATTATATGGTGTATGATGATCTATTTAGGCTTCCAAACCTGTGGGCTGTGAGCAAAGTTTCATAATATATGTTTGTCCACAAACGGTCGGTTTAATTTTACTACGTTATTATTTCACACAATGCTATTACTTAAAATAAATGATAATGATTGAATGAATGAAATGATATTGATTATTTGTAGTTGACTTCTTTTTTTACAGATAAGCAACACGGGACCAACCCGCTGGGTAGGGATCGATTGTAAGGTGCAACTACCAAAAATAGTATACAAGGGTGTAATCGAAATATATGTGATGGTGAGATCATTTAAGTTAACCATTATTAAGCTTGATAAGCATTTATAAATCTATCAGGTTAAAGTTCGATCCTTTTCACCTCGACGCCTGACGTTCCACAACACAGCGTTTTTTAAGGCACTTCTTTGTGGGATCAGCTGCCAGTAGGGGTCTACTGGATCCCTGATTTCCGAAACGACACGATTAAGGGCCTTTAAAAAAAGAGCGTACCATTCGCTCAAAGGTCGACGATACACTCGCAACCCCTCGTAGCAGGTGTCTGTGTGCGGTTAGCACATTATTTAGTGCCTATTCGTTTGCCTCCTGTCTCATAAAACTAGAAAGCATGCGGTAGACCTATGTTTCTGTTTAATTGTTCTTATGTCAGACGACTACACGTTGAGGTACTAGATATTATAGAATAAGTTTTATATATTTCTAGGTAAAAACTGAAACATCTACATCAAACTGCACTATTGATGAAGATATCACATACGCATCGTGTAGTATTCCCGAGCTACGTATAAACGATGTAGTCAGTGTTTATGTCAGTATTTTTGCGCTACCCACCAAATTAGGTAATTATTATATATCGAATTATGTATCTATTCTTTTAATTGGTAAATGTGTTTATACCTATTGCAAGTATTTTTTTACTTTTTTAGGGTTTACTAGTGTCACTATAATGAAAATAATTAAAGCATTTTGAGGCACCTTCTTAAAATAATTTAAAAAAATGTATATATATAAATCATAATAAATAATAATGAATCTTATTTCCCTATTCACAGATAATATTATACAAAAACAAGATATTAAATTAAATTCGAAGATAACATTAGCGCTTGGAAAAGAGGACAAGTCTTTTAGGTAAGAAAAACCTAAGATTTTCCACTTTCTGCGTACCAAACTCCAAAATGAATTGCCCCATTGTATCAACGGTTCTGGTTCCCATGAGAGAGAAGAGAAGACAAACACGATCCTAGAAAATAAACTATGATTGCATTTAAAAATGGAATGCTATAACTTCAGCTTACATTACTTTTGTTTGATATAAAAATTGTATTGTATCATATACGTTACTCGTAAGTAGATTTCACATGGTTTTGTGTCAGTACAATCACGAACGCATAATAGATGATTTTGGCGTGGCAAACAGACCACAACACAAAAGCAAGCGGCTAACACCTGCGTTGGTACTCTGTAACTAACGAACGACTGTAATGTGATAGAATACCAGCGCGGCGTTACCTTTGAGATATTTTTTGTGTTAAGTAGATAAAATCTTAGTTGTTAATTTATATTTTCAGTATCACTAACACTCTCCATTATAACTGCGACATCGTAGCAACGTGGATCATTGTATTGGCTGTTTTATTCGGTCTCCTCTTGATTGCTATTTTAATATACGTACTTTATAAGGTAAGACTTTTACTAGAGCTAAATTAAAACAACAGTACGGCACCTGCATAACCTGCCGGTCCTGGATTTGATTCCCAGCAAAACAAACAACTAGGCAACTAGATTAGCGAACTTATTTATTTTATTTTGTGTTTTTCAATAATAATCGTAAATTAGGTATTAATAACAATCATTACTATTATATCAATGTATTATCATCTATATATATATATATATATATGATTTGCTGTTTGTTTCTCTCCCTAAAACTCGAAATTGGCTGGACCGATTTGGTTAATTATGATTGAAATATTTGTGGAAGTTCAGGGATGTTGGGAAACTTCTTTACCTACTTATTTATGAGTAAAGCAAAATAATAAAACAGACAATTAAATTTTCCAATAAATCTGTTTCAAGCAGGGAAATGTTGGTTGCCTTTTATTATTTGAAATAAAAAAATTCTTTTGGTTTTGATATATTATGTCTTCAGAAATGTGTTTCATGGCTGTCGTACGTGGTCCGATCTGTTTATACTTTTAAAAAATTTATTAAGTTTTGACACAAATACGAAGATATGATACGAAGTTGCTCGGGACTCCCACTTTGTTAATAATTATGTATGTTTAGTTTACATATTTCTTTATTTTTCAGTGCGGTTTCCTAAAAAGAAAGAAGAAACAAGCAGCCGAGAGCTTCAGAAAAACCATTAAAGACTATGTAAGTTCCCTGATATATTCCAATGTTCTGTAAATGTTCTTATAAACCTTCTAGGGAACTGTTTTTGACATAAACCATATTTTGCAGAAAAGATTGACACCCCAGTTTTGCGAAGCGACTCAAGCTCCCATTGATGACCAAGACTGTTCATGAAAAATGCCAACATTTAGTATAACTGGCAATTATTTATTATAGAAATTATTATTTTTTTTTTTTTTTTTTTTTTTTTTTTTTTTTTTTTTTTTTTTTTTTTTTTTTTTTTTTTTTTTTTTTTTTTTTTTTTTTTTTTTTTTTTTTTTTTTTTTTTTTTTTTTTTTTTTTTTTTTTTTTTTTTTTTTTTTTTTTTTTTTTTTTTTTTTTTTTTTTTTTTTTTTTTTTTTTTTTTTTTTTTTTTTTTTTTTTTTTTTTTTTTTTTTTTTTTTTTTTTTTTTTTTTTTTTTTTTTTTTTTTTTTTTTTTTTTTTTTTTTTTTTTTTTTTTTTTTTTTTTTTTTTTTTTTTTTTTTTTTTTTTTTTTTTTTTTTTTTTTTTTTTTTTTTTTTTTTTTTTTTTTTTTTTTTTTTTTTTTTTTTTTTTTTTTTTTTTTTTTTTTTTTTTTTTTTTTTTTTTTTTTTTTTTTTTTTTTTTTTTTTTTTTTTTTTTTTTTTTTTTTTTTTTTTTTTTTTTTTTTTTTTTTTTTTTTTTTTTTTTTTTTTTTTTTTTTTTTTTTTTTTTTTTTTTTTTTTTTTTTTTTTTTTTTTTTTTTTTTTTTTTTTTTTTTTTTTTTTTTTTTTTTTTTTTTTTTTTTTTTTTTTTTTTTTTTTTTTTTTTTTTTTTTTTTTTTTTTTTTTTTTTTTTTTTTTTTTTTTTTTTTTTTTTTTTTTTTTTTTTTTTTTTTTTTTTTTTTTTTTTTTTTTTTTTTTTTTTTTTTTTTTTTTTTTTTTTTTTTTTTTTTTTTTTTTTTTTTTTTTTTTTTTTTTTTTTTTTTTTTTTTTTTTTTTTTTTTTTTTTTTTTTTTTTTTTTTTTTTTTTTTTTTTTTTTTTTTTTTTTTTTTTTTTTTTTTTTTTTTTTTTTTTTTTTTTTTTTTTTTTTTTTTTTTTTTTTTTTTTTTTTTTTTTTTTTTTTTTTTTTTTTTTTTTTTTTTTTTTTTTTTTTTTTTTTTTTTTTTTTTTTTTTTTTTTTTTTTTTTTTTTTTTTTTTTTTTTTTTTTTTTTTTTTTTTTTTTTTTTTTTTTTTTTTTTTTTTTTTTTTTTTTTTTTTTTTTTTTTTTTTTTTTTTTTTTTTTTTTTTTTTTTTTTTTTTTTTTTTTTTTTTTTTTTTTTTTTTTTTTTTTTTTTTTTTTTTTTTTTTTTTTTTTTTTTTTTTTTTTTTTTTTTTTTTTTTTTATTTATTATAGAAATTATTATTATATATTAATTAGCGTTACTATTAATCTAATATATTTTTAAACAGTGAATGTGAAGCATTGGATAGATACAATAGTATTTTGTTTCAAAAGAACTCACTTTTATGTTCAAGTAACTGAACCCGAACATCTCCAGAGTTGAGTATCCAATTGGGATTATAATATTAAGTTCAGAGTCAACACTTGGCAGTCGGCAGTGACGCCCTCTTCTTCTTTTTAATAAGGCAATATGTTTCGTATAAACCTTCTAACCAAATTTCCCATTCGTATTTTTCTGTTTGTCAGTTTATTTTAATAGAACGGGGCAAACGAGCAGGAGGTAAGAATCTCATGTTAAGTTAACATACCGCCGCCCATGGACAATCAATGCCAGATGGCTCGCGAGTGCGTTGCCGGCCTTTAGTGTGATACAAAGTGAATGTAATAATGAATGTCATATAATCCCACCCTCAAAGTTTGTTAGTACATATTGGGGTTTATAAATAAAAGAATATCGAATTATGCAATAGTTTTATTGTTAGAAAGGGGCCCCGACGATGGAGCTACCGGGGCCCGCTACGCTACCGCCTACACAGATAACTACAAACCCTCACTTATCATTTCCATTCGCATCATTTACACCAATTCTACGTTTACAAAAGCACATGAGTACCCGAACTCTAATTTATACATTTACTAAACATCTGGGTTCCGAACAAACAACCTTAAGCAAAATCGAATTTGTCTAGATTTTTTTTAACATTTAGATTTAAAACTTTTAATCCGCTGGCATATTCCAAACAAATTCGATGATGCCGGCTGCCATCACAATTTCTATTCCGCCAATCAAACAACGAATTGATAACCTTCCTTTTTTTGGAGTCGGTTAAATTAATTGTACAAGTGAGACCATGCTATTATCCGTGTCGTCCGGTAAATGCTAAAAAATTACAATAGTTTTGGCAGTTCGCAACAATGGTAAAATGCAACTAAATCGACAGTAATACAAATATATTTACAATCTTCCCGTCATTAACTAAATCACAAAAAAGAATTACTATCGCATGTTATAGGAGAACGATAGATCACTATTTTGCTTCTATCCAATGCCAGGATACTTCGTAAAGCTTTAACTTCGCAAATGGGTTTGCGGTAAGCTTTATAAATAATACCAAACTGTTAATTGAGACATCGGCCGAAGTAACGCAAAATCGTTCGAGTAGCGAACTTATATTCGTTCGTTTAAGTATGTGATACGACAAAAATGTAATGATCTTTTCATTTATAAACTAACATCCGACTCTGCATTACTAATCAGAACAAGTGTTCGCAAATCCTCGCACATAACTTTGCGCTCATTGTAACTGCCTTCGTCCCGGTACAAATAAAAGTACAGCCATTTGTAATACGTCTAAATAAGAGCAACTTAAACACAACTATCAGTGCAGGAGTACGTATATTTACAAGACTGGTAAGTGAACATAACTTATAATAAACTTACTGCGTCCGACAAAGAAATTCTTAAAATTGTAAAAATCTCTTCGCTTATTTTTTTTTGTCATTTTTCTATTTAAAAGTTACCTTAACTAATACGAAGAATACGCGACTAAGAGCAGAGGCAGTTTGTAAATGTAAAAACTAATATTATTTGCTAATATTTACATAATCTGCCCCGATAGCGTCAGCGCTTAAACCTAAAATGACTGACCAAAACTAATTGTCTAAACTAAATCACCTTGTGTGCTAAATGGAAAATTACTTAAAACAACATACGAGATCTCTAACAGTCTGGAAACGAAATTATGTACATTACGAAGCGTTGAATTCGAATTCTATGTACAGCAATAATCGATTAATCTATCAGGTAATTGTATTTGTTCTCGATTGAGTCAGACGTTCCGAAGAAATCTTCCGCAATCGGATTGAAGCGTACGTACATACGTATACTACGTATATGTACGCGCACGCGGCAGCTTGGAGGCTGTATTAGGATCACAGTAACAGTTATCTGTAAGGCAAGGTGTGGCCGCTATCTAGCGTACACTATTACGTACACGTGCGTAACGAATTGAATTTAAATCATTTTAACTACATATCGTTTAAGTTTGTACCTCTACATAGAACTCACGTGTACTAATAGTATCGTATCGATCGGCTGTTTTTGTACCATCTAGACGTAACCCTGTACGAACACACATTTCCATTTGAGATCTAATTCACAAAGCCATAAGGTCTATTATCACGTGTGTCGATACAGAAAGTCCGCCAACCTATTGGTTTCCAGTTTCCCATTCCATACTAAAACTACGAGATTATTTACAATTTAGTTACTTTTAAATCTTTTATATAGTTTTGAACTACATTTAAGGCTACGAATGATTTCTTGGGACTCCATTACATATAATATCGAGATACTAGACTACACAAACACAAGTGACTACACACATGTTCAACACGATACGCTCTCAAATTATGTACCGCGCAAAACATGTGTGTAGTCTCGAAGATTAATTTTGAATACTTAAAACGATTATAGTGTTGGCCAATTAAATACACAAACGTCGACGCACACTAACACACATTAGTATAATTATATACTACTAATAATAAATGCTTGGAAATAATTACAAAAGGTCACGTACAGTCGAAGGGTAGCTACAAATTTTCATTGAGAAGAAAATCTCTAATGTAAATTTCTACCTACCATCAACCAAATTTGAAATTTCAATCAGTATAAATCGTAAATAAAGACAATTACACCTAAATTCTATTGTCAGTCGATGTTACATACAATGAGAGAATAAACAATTAAGTAAAAAATCGCATCGTATAAGAAATCGTTACAACGTTCATTTTAATCAACGACTAATATATTGCAACATTTATTGCTCGCAACTTTCACAAATCAATCAGGCACACACCAAAAACCTATCAAATCGGCTATCTATTTATCTATATCCGATCGAAATCGCCAGAGAATTCCCAAACGAAATTTGGTTGTTACAACCACCTGACAATTCCAATCGGAAACGACCCATGTATAAAGATAATAACTATCCCTAAAAAGCATGGCCTTTACTACTGCAATATCCGATATAGGCTGAATACGCACGAGTCATTCAAACAATCCTTTCCCCATTTTTTTCACACCACAAAACATTAAACCCTAATCTACCAACGTACACCGCTACATGTAATACGTAATGTCAGGAAAATATATTTGGTAATATGTTTACGCGCGACACGCTTCCACTATTCCGTCGTTTCATTCTATGCATGTCTTTTTTATATCACTACGATCCTTAGTTATATTTACAATACAATTATTACTGAGGTCTGTATTTGCCTTCAGTCTGAATACAAAATGCGTATAATAGGGTCACTTGCAATTATGAATTCTAATTATATCCATTGATATACATAATACAATGAAAGCTAACATTTATTGGTGTTATGAATTGTACATCCGTGACAAAAACATGCATATACTATATTCACTATCACTATCGACGCTAGTTTAACGTTTCTAACGTTATCGTTTCGATAGCCGACATATCGCAATACTCGTTGTAGTCAATTTCGCCGTGAGTTTTATGAAAATTGTGTTACAATTGGCTACAACACGTATTGCGTTTTAGGCTAAACCGGTGAATTATCGTGCGTCGGTGTAAAGAGCGCGTCGCTTGTCGAAGCCACGCTTAGACTCGCGTCATTCCCACTGATGAGGCGACGGCGGCAGCTCCGACGGGTGTGCGACTGTCGAGCTGAAAATCGCGAATCGCATGGATTAGTCGCAAGTCTATGTCGTGCTTCACCCACACCCAGGCCACTGGACGTATGCTGGAGTACGGCGTTGCTTCAAATATAATATAATATTGAAGGCTTTTAGCATTGTCCGTTATCCCAACATACGACGTTTCATGCACTTTAAAAATGCATATGTATAAAATTTTGAGAAAAATGTAATAGCAAATCAAACTACTGAAATTCTACTGAATCACCACAACCGAGTGCTTGGCACTGTGCTCACTGTCTACGCATGCACTAAGGACAAACAAAAAGTTCATATATATTCGAAATCCCGAACAAATTGTTGAAAACAAACAAAGCAAACATTCTGCTTACAATTCCCAACTGGAGCTTTGATTTTAGCGATTTAAACTAAGTTATTTCAAATCGAATTCCAATCCGAATAGATCGCCAAAATGTTCAAGAAAAAAAGGAGAAAATCGAAAAGCATGCATCTCGGAACCGAGTACTATCCAACGATCAACCCTTTTGAAATAACGACGTAGCAAAACAACACATAAACAATTTACATCTCTAAGTAACTACATATTCATTTTAAATGTATTGCTCAGGAGTTGTTTTACATACGCCCGCGTTTAGGACAACACAATATAACGTGCGGTGACGCTTACTGGTACTACGCAGCGCACAGAAATATCACAGGCGAGAGGAGAAGTATTTTTGCCGCTGTCTTGAAAGGGGAACAAACTTTTGCTTTCGTACTCGGTCTAGAGCTGCCGCAGAGAAAAACATTCGTTAAAAAACCGCACTGGCCTTTTTTCCCGCGATTTAACGCAGAAAAGGCACACAAACACAATTAAAACTAATTTCAATAGAAAAATCAAGTCTTTGACATCATTCGCGGGAAAAAATTGCGCACGGTCGCCTTCTATTGGAACACAACTTTGCGCGGTAAAAACCGCTTAGGCTAGTTTTTTCAAGAGGGTTGATAACTGCGGTGGTAGCGAAGGGGAAAACCATGCAATGTGGGCATAAAAGGACCTAAACTACTAAAGGCGGGACGAGGAGGGGAGAGCGGGGCTGACTTCGGCGACCACCTTCCTTCTATGGGTCTCTAAACATTGGTGTGCGTGCCACACTTAGTTGTGATGATTGTATTGACTCTATTGAAGTGAAGACAACACAAGATTTAAACTTATCGAATTAATTCACAAAAAAATTTCAAAAAATTGGAGTAAACATATTTACATTTTTTCCACAATATCACTTGCGATATGAAAGCTTATAATATTGTTGAATTTAAATCCCATAAAACAATTTAATTTTTCAACTCTGTCGCGGATGTGTTGTCGACACGTTAGACGTGGCCGTTTGGGTGCGGGTGGTCGCTAATAGCTCAGCGATTGACGGCTATACACTGTCACGATTCACTTCAATTTAAAATTTGGTCTCACTCTGAGATCTTTTAATAAGAATTTCTTAATTTTTGAGATTGTTTCCTATCTTAGTTTGTTTGGACTTGTCTGGTTAAATAACAAAATCATTATTATTATACTTTGATATATGTTACATTGTCACTTTGTATCTTTAACATACAAATTAAAAAATTAATAATTTGTTTAAAATTTGAAAAGCTTTTTTAATTGTAAATAGTCTGTAATAAAAGGAACTCGACTCGACCAACCACAAAAGTGTTAAGTAAAATTTTCATATTTTTTGGATTTCAAATTAATCATTTAAAAAAGCGCTACAAGGAAGACTAGCACTCCATATCAAGCTATTCACTGATTTAAATATTAGAAGACATAATGTAACAGTCAATATATGCATAGAACTATTAAATTATCTTTGGTAATCAAAAACCTTTGACAGAGATGTGATATATTTTCTGCATATATTCTTACTCTAAGAAAATAAGAAATTCTTGCTCTGAGCTTGGTTTAAAGAGACCATAAAGCGACCATAAAGCGATAATGGCGAGTGTAAAGCCGCCAATCGTGTAGGTATCGCAAAGAAATCACCTAGTGTCTGGTTGTTTGCGTTGGTTGGTGGCGGCGCCTTACCTTGCGAAGCTCTTGAACGCGGCGGACTGTGGGTTGATGCACAACGGCACACGAGACGTCTGCAGCTGCTCCGCTATGAATTTGTGGATCTCCTCTGCGGAGACATCAGAAAATGAGGCCCTAGCCCCGATGGCCCATACGTTGTGACAGACATGTGTCTTCCAAAACGATATAATAATGCTCAAAACATTTAACTGCCCTTTCGTTTGAATTAAAATTTTGTACGTCGATAGAATCATGTAGTACTGTTAACGTACTGTTCTGTTAAGTTCTGTACAGTTCTGTAAAGTTCTGTACAGTTCTGTTAACGCTTTAACTATTACTATATTTGTTAGTTAAATCGAAAAATTTACTTAAATTGGATCGTTTTTGTGTCCTAGATATATACGTATATTTATATAAACCCCTTTTTTTTTCATATACATCCTTTTTTTATAAAAAAAAAGAATATGAACATAACCACAGATCACTACAGTAGGTAGAAACTTGACACGAACCTTTAACTTGATGTACAGAAGTAAGCTTCCTCTCCCAGCCGTCGTGGAAGGCGTGGGGTGCTACGGGTTCGAGATCCGGTGAATAATGTCTCGCAGCCGGCGGGGCGTTGTAGCAACACTTGCACATGCAAGAGTGGTACCGCAGCCGCCCCTCTTCGAGATACGGATGCGCGAGCGCATCGACAACAGAGATTCGTTTCGCCGGATCGAAGACTAGCATCTGGAATTTGATAATGCAGTGTAAACTCCTTTTGTAAAACTTTACGATGCGGGGCGGGGATTAAATTACGCGTTATTGTTAATATTTTTTTCGACTTACATCACATAATAGTAACTAAAGAGTCACTAGGTGTTCACGAAACGTTTTACTTTACTGAAAAACTTTACGGCGAGTTACATGGAGGGGGGGGGGGGGTGTCAATAATCTCCAAAAATTGCGTTACGTTATACTTGAACGCTCCCAAAGATGAAAGACAAATGGAGGAATTTGGAAGAGGAAGTCCCTTCAAAAGATAAAAAGTATCATGAAAAAGTTTTGTTAATTTTCTTGTTGTTTCAGAGTGCAAATTACTTCGTAAATATTACCTGTGCAAGCAAATGAACTGCCTCATGCGTGGCCTGTACAGAGAGCGTATACAGGGCAGCCAGAGCTGGCGGGCGAGGCGCACGACGCAACATGTGCGCACGCGCACCGGCGCAAGCGTATCGCATATCCTCCAACGACGGCGTACCCAGAAGCTCTGTTATTAACTCCAGCTGAAACGTTATAGGACTAATAAGTTTTATGATGTTATAAAATTAAAACACAACGCACTCGCGAGTCCTCTGGCCTGTTCTATAAAAATAATAACGCAATATCGAAGCCTTTTTTTATTAAATATGTAAGTAATTTATAATTATTCAAACGTATTAAAGGTAAAAGATTTTTTTTAAACCAAAATTAGGACAACCAACTACAACGACGTTCGTACAAATATATGAAAAGCGGCCCTAAAACATGCAGTCACGACCAGAGAAACCAAGTACAAAAAACAGTGATCTAACAAAAAACAATAAAACATAAAAACTACAAAAATAAATCAACTATTAAAAACAAGAATTTAAATATCGGAAGTGTGATCTATGTTCATTGTCATTCAGGTAGCGAATATTTTTTGTTGAAATTCAACTGTTTAATTCAACAAAAACATGAACTTATAACTAACATAAAATTAGGGGCTGAATTACCCAAAAACTAAATTGACCTATTCAAGGGTTCTTAGTGACACCTCTGTTACTTATAAAGAATATAAGTGTAGTCAACCTATTGGACATTATCGGAAACGAGAATGTTATATCACAATTTATGAGTGTGGGAAAAACTAAAGTGCTCATTTTTTCTTCAAGTGTGCGATGATTGCTAACATTTGGTTTGCGCTTCTAATTATTAGGTTACATAACTCTAGTCTGAGTAAAAAAATATTGATACTAAACCCAACCTTTTCTTCAAGTTCTCTGTGTGTAAGTAAACTTAACCCGAACCTCTAGGAAATACACATTAGGTACACATATTATGTTATCAACATTTCTATACTTTATTACATAAGAAACTTGTTTGTCGCATTTATTAAATACAAATGAAAAACAAATGAGTACCTGCTGTACGGGACTCTGAGCTTGAAACAGAATTCGCCTGCCAAGCAGTTCGCCGAATATACACCCAACCGACCAGACATCCACCGCTGCCGTGTAATGATTTGCGCCCATCAGAATCTCTGGTGCCCTGGAATATTAATGAGTATAATTAAAATCGCTTCAAACAATACTGCACAGAATTTTTAATACGAAAATGAAGATATATTCTTTCTTCTTTTTATTTTCAAAATCTTAAACGAAAACCAGTTAGAATTTATCTTCGTTTATTTTCTCCATTAAACATTTAGAAATTAGAAGTAAATCAAGTGTGTGTGTGTGCATACCGCATCGAAAGAACATCTAACATTTTATTATTTTTATGTTAATTCGAGTATACATTAATAATGAAAAAGCTACCGATACACATAATATAAACCCACAAACACAGTGATCGTATGGAATTCATTCATGGCATTTCGAGTTGCAAGAGTTGGCTCATTTTCTTAGGGTCCCCAAAACTTATTACACTAGAACCTCGATAACTCAAACCTCGGTAACTTAAAAACCTCTATAACTTCAAAAAATAATATGTTCCCTTCCCATCAGAGCCAAAAAACCTCCATAACTTAAAATACGCAACCTCTGTAACTTAAATAAGTAATCTCTGAATTGGCCCTCAGTAACTTAAAGAAATGTTTCCACAACCTCTATAACATAAAATTGTTTGTCAATGAGTCATTTTGAAAAAGTGTGCAAATCAAAAGTTTTCGGTTTTAACAACTGTAAGATCATTTATAGAGCAGTGTAGCAACATAAAAGATAATGTATTCTCTTCTCAATTTGTCATTGAAAATCAAATCGATTTAGAAACTGTGAATTGTTTAAAACAAAAGAAAATCACAGACTTTTTTAAGTAGACTAAACCTTTAATTGTTGTTAAATAAATAGGATTATTTTAATTTCTGTATTTTATTGAACTAACCCTTCTGACGTATTCGAGTAAAAATAGGAATAAGGGTACATACATACACATGTACATACCTACCTCTATATTAACCTATCCCTAACATAGACCCTTGACAACTTAAAACCTCTATAACTTAAAATATTTTGTGTTTCCCTTGGACTTTAACTTATCGAGTTTCTACTGTATTACGTATAACGTTACGTTAAAGTTTCGTATATTCCAAGTTACATAAAAAAATCATATTCCGTAGTAAAATACGAAGCTTAGGGACGTCGGGTTCAAGTAGATAACCCTTGTTAGCATAACTTTTGATGTCCCTTGATAGCATTTTGACCTTTGAAGTTTCTGTAAATATATTTACGTCAAATTGGGCGGAAATCATAAATAATACACATTTTAATGAGAAATACGTCCTACAATTAATGCGTACATTTTTTAAATTAAGAAATGAATATATGGTGTTTATTTAACACAAGAGGACACAGGTTTTCAACTTCCGGTAATAATAAAATTAAATTAAAGAACGTCGCTTACTTTTAGAGGACTTCGAAAAACAATATTTATTAAATTATGTAAATACTTTTAATCAAATTCCATGTAACGATGGACCTATTACTCGTGACTCAAATGCAATTTACATTTATTATGGGCAAAAGATGTTACATTAAAACAACACAGAAAATTATATAATGTTTTAATTTTTTTTTTATATGTGCGTTTCAAGTAATTTGTTAACTGATTGAGCTGGACGACAAGTAATAGAGTTACTAATGACTACGATAATACCTGCTATCTGATCTCTTACTAGTTGTAATAAATGACATTCGAAAAAATTAAAATCAAATGAATTTAATCAAGTAACCTTTACATGGTAAAACTGCTTCCCGGCCGTCACTACTCTATATTTTTTTACGCTTTCACATGGCGCTTTCAAAAGTTTCTAGATAAAACATTGGTAAACCACCCGAGTTTAAAACCATACTTACATATAATTAGAAGTCTTATGTCTTATGGTCCATATTTAGAAATAATACAACTCTCCAATTATCGCTATTATGCCACAAATTACAAAATACTGTGAGAAACACTGTATGGTCATACATAATTAATGTTCTGGGCTGAAGCTAAGTTTGAATGTAAGCCAAGTGTTGCGGCCAAGGGTAGCCCTTGAGTGGTTGCATAACTTTGTATTATAGCCTGCAGTACTCTTCATATCTCAATACTACATAGCATATAAGATAATATCTATTGGATCTTATACGCCATACTTCTTTAGCATCGTAAATGCAGGATATCAAAAGTATTTCCTGTTATCATTTTTGATTAGTATAATCTTTATGTTAGTCCAAAATTTTTAATTCTTCAGGATAAAGGTATCAATTAAAACGTTAATGGACTCTTAAACATGTTTTTTTAAATATAATAGGGGGGGCAAACAAGCCTTCGGGACGCTCAAAAAGGGCAGTCATTGCAGCCCATAGACACCCATTTTTAGGGGTTTGTTGTTTTAGGTGCGTTGTCGGCCTTTGAGGGAGGAGTATACTTGAATTTTAAACATTTGGAGGTCGTATCTCTCAGGGAAGACCTCCACCGGGAGTCGATTCCACAGTTCGCTAGTTCGCAAAAGAAAATGCCTTGTGAAACGAACTGTGGAAGACTTCCAGCCATCAAGGTGATGGTATATAACTTATGTACCTACTAAAACTAACAAAAGTAACACTGAAGGAAATTTTGCGACTTCGTTCGCATGAAAACAGGAAATTGCAATCCAAGTTTACGCGTAAAGCTATAAACAAAAATATTATTAATACCTATATTTAATAAACCTTGCTCATATCACTCTATAAAACAGCAATAAATGTGGTTACGTAGTTTAAAAGGTAAATAAGATTTAAGTTTATAGAAGACTGATGCGACTATTTTTATAATTAGTTCGCATATATAAATAAAAAACAAAAAAATAAATGTCCATACAAAATACTCAAATATGGTTTTCATGCAATAGCTAAACAACGATGTAAATATCGTCATAGTCGTAGAATAGTGACGGATCTGATAAATAGTAAACTTTACAGAGCAGCCATTTCAAAATAATACAATCATGTTAGTTTTTGTCATAACTATTTTAATTCATATTCTGGAAAAAATATATGAAAATTGCCAAACAAAAGGGTTTGTTTTGAAACAAAATAAAAATAATAACCTTGAATTACACAGTTTTCTAGAAAAATCACATGCTTCTATGAGCGTCTATCAAATCCGTCACTTTACCGACTATTTATAGAAATTATTAGAAATTTTTGTTTAATATAGCCGTAATATTTAGTCAATGTAGTATCCAAATATGATAAAAAATGGATTTTGGATATTTTCATAATCCGCAATTGTTCTACGATCATGACGATATACGACATTACTTCCTCACCTATAATACTGTGTGACGACCTCCTGTGTCATGTTTTTGGTGGAGTCCGGTTCCTCGACCCTCGCCAGCCCGAAGTCACAGATCTTGAGAACACAATTGCTGTTTACCAGCAGGTTGCCTGGCTTGATGTCTCTATGCAGGATTCTCGCCGAGTGTAGGTATTTTAAGCCTGAAAATGATAGCATGCATTAAGTTCTGGCTCAAGACGTAAACGGTGGTTCATAGAAACAATTGAATTAGCAAGTGATTGATCTCAAACACAATTTGAAAGAAAGATACGAATGAGCTTGGTTTGATTTTCTTAGGGCATTTAATATTAAATTAAATTCATGCCCAATTATATTAAATATAAGCAAATCAGAACTTGACAAGAAAAAGACGTTGAACTTGTTTGACTTTTAGAACAGAGAAATACTTTGTGTAGATAAAAAACCCGGGCATAACCAGTTTTAACCCCTTTTTATTTTATAACTATAGAAAATGTAATAAAATTTATTTTTGTTAAATCTAATAATAATTAATGTTAATAATAATTAAGTTATTGTTAGAAGTCAAGAACAAGTTTTGAAGTTTTTTAATGTTACCTACCTAAATATTTTTTAGGTACATTAAAATTTTCAAGTGTTAAATTACCTCCGATAAACCCTCTCAACTTTCGAAACATTTAAATTTATTTTCTCCGATAAAAAGGCATCGGAATCAGCGATGATAGGGATTTAACAAATATCAAATTGGATCGGACGTTTGTGATCCGGTCATTATTACATTATACGATTTTATTTATAAGAAATCTTCTAACAGACGTTTCGGAAATGGTGCTCTTGCATTCTGTACTTATTTCAATTACCTTATTTCGAAATAAGTTCTATTCCGGTTTTGGTTCTATATTAAAACAATGCATTGCGTAACGTCAATTGTCAATTATTTTAACGTCATACCAAACTGCATGGAACGGTACAAAACTGCTTTGTTACTGCGCCCAGTTGGAAATAATAAAATTACATTTTGCAAACGATAATCCGGTTTAAACTGGATTCGTATGGTGCTATGTAGAGTTTTAGAGTACTATTCTTGTATGTTGTAGTGTTATTATTATTTGAAACATAAACGATACGATGACAAAATGTATGGGAAAGATTATTTTAAAGGCTTGATAACAAAAATCTTAAATGCTTATAAATTATGTTATCAAAACATTCCCATTGTACACTAGGGAGTTTTGGTGTATTAGGCCCCGCAGGCTCAAGGTACGGCCTAAGGCCACACCACCAGTAGTATATGTAGAATTTATAGAAAGTAGAAAACTAAATGTGATGAAGCCATTGTACTCACTTTAAAATTTATTTAGATACTTCACTTAATCGAACTTCGTAATCCTTTAATTAGAGCAAATTTTATGAATGTCATTGTTTCAAAAAAGTATATTAAGGTCCATATTTTAAAACACAAATCAATGTGAACTTTATCTCCCTCCCAAACTACTTCTCAACTTGGTGCACCTACAATCAAATTCGCTGAATCTATAAATTCTACGTAACTACTAAACAATCACATTTTAATTTTCAGTTTTATGACGTGAATAGCACAGGAGTCCCCAAAGCCCCGAATGGACGAGTTCGTTCCGTTTAACTGCGCGCGATAATAGATGCAAAACCGCAACACAGGAGAGACGTGCTAATTCTTACTTGCTGGAGAAGTATTTAAATTAATTCGTTTTATAATAGTAGAGTCTTACACAACAGGAAAGGGTACAATTGTTATCAAATATCTATTAAGATTATTGTGTTACTTTTGCAACGTAATACTAATCTATATCATATATGCCTTATTGCTCATTTGGCGTAATTTTTAACGAACTGTTATAATAATGTTGATTATACTTCCACATATTTAACACTTTACAAAGAATGATTTTTCGTTTCTCGTTTTGTATATTCACCATACAGATGTAGGATTAAGAACGTAAATCTACTGGAAGTAGGTGAGCTAGCAACACCTTTTTGTTTTTTATAAATAGATAAAATAGGTGATGAACCTTTTGTTCCTGACTTTGACTTTTTGAGTCTAAGGAACACCGCTAGGGCGAGCGTTATATGCGTACAAATACAGAAAAGTACATTGGTTTAAAACCTGCTACCTCAGAAATGATAGTCGCACGCTGAATTCACTAAAGCCCATAAAAATGAAACAAATAATAATAACACTTTTCACAATTTTCTACTTATGTCCTATGAAATAGTTACCGTTGGGTCTTTACACATACCTGTGTGTTATGAAATAATCAAATAAACCATTATGCACTGTTATCACAACTGCATTTTTTCATTTAAATAGAAAGCTCTGGCAGCTGTACAAATAGAATTGTTTGAATATTATCCTCCAATACTAATATAACTTTAACAACTTTGACTTCACAAGTGCTACAACAACAACAACAGTCATTAATAATTTTAATCACCACTTAAATAAGACTTCTTTAACGTCTTTAAAGTCTTGATTATTTTTTATCCATTTGTTTTTAATAATACAGACAACATGTGACGGTGCAACACAAATTGGTCACAATATCTCCGTCCACCGAATTGTCAATCATTACGATAATATTATAATACTTAAAAACTAAATTATCTACTAGAACTTATTTTTAATTTCTTGAATTTTATTTCAAAAAATTATTTATATTACATTCTCATTTATCAATATTGTAAAGCTCTCATTTATTTAATATAAAAATACTTAACAAAAATGCTAAGTAAAGTAAAAAAAAACATTTTAAAGTTTACTACAACTTCACATCTTCGGCGTTAGACAAATCGCCGAGATTCCGTAAGTCTAGACTTCATAATTCATACTTCTTTATAAAAAGAGTTTCCTATAAAAGCGTTTAGTATCTTATTTATAAAATTAATCAATCTTGTTATAAAACAAGGAATCACGGTAATACTGTGTTTATTGACTTGGTTACGAAGTCTTCTTTTAAACATGTTAAGTTTTATAATGTAAATTAATATAATAATCTATTTTTCTAATTAAATAGATGTATATTACATATATGTATAATGTATATATCCGTGAATGGGAATAGGGAGAGGATCCCTTATATCTCATTCCCATTCATAATCTAATTCAATCAACACGCATTTTTGGTCAGCCATACCAGTTTTAGTTTGTTTCCAAATAGCAATATTTTTCACTAAACATAGGACTGGCAAATCTTCGTAACCCCTTACGGCCAAACCCATCGGTCCGTCCTGACACTTGATTTATTAATAAATCCTAAAAAAGTAAAATCGTATTTCAGACCATAAACAAACATTTTTTTTTTAGTTTAATTTAGTTTTACTTAGTATATTTAGTGTTACATGTACACAAATATTATGTTTTTTTGTTAATTATTTATGCACTTCCAGTAATTTACCCTCGGTTAATGTTTCTTTAATGATTTTTTCATGCCGACTACGCACTCGCGAGCCCTTTGGCATTGCGAGTGTGGCATGGCAGAGATCTAATGTAAGATGTATTTATCGCAGTGTTCAGCGTGCGACTCTCATACCTGAGGTCGCAGTTTCGATCCCTGGCTGTGCACCAATGGATTTTCTTTCTATGTGCGCATTTAACATTCGCGCGAACGGTGAAGGAAAACATCGTGAGGAAACCGGCTTGCCTTAGAACTTAATAGTCGACGGTGTGTCAGGCACAGGAGACTGCGCCTATTAGATTGACAAATGATCATGAACCAGATACTAAAATCTGAGGCAAAGATCTAAAAGGGATGTAGCGCCACTGATTTTAATAGGTATTTAAGCATCATATAGGCTGGTAGACAATATTTGGCTGCCAGATTCCCCGCTCTTAAATATTAGATGCTGACGGTAGCTTTATTGTGTTTATCAAAATCCGTTGCTCTAAGTTTCCGTCGAGCGTGATAAAAATCTTGCGATGGTATTTCGCATTGACATAACTTTATTTTAAAATATATTGAAGAAAAATGTTTATGAAGACACCGCTTATGGTCTTATTTCTCCGAGGTGTTGGTGAAAAATACTCGACAATTTTAAATGACTAACAATTCAATTTATTGCAAAACCTTTTTAGTGTACACTTTTATAGAACAGGAGGCAAACGGGTAGGAGGCTCACGAGAATAGGTCGTAAAGTATATTTTATACCGTTATGGCGTAGCAACTTAAACACTAACAATATAGTATTGGTGAAATTGCAATGCGGCAATTTTATTTCTCGTACAAAATCATGTCAATCATCATCACTATTAAGTGTAGCTGTATAAACACGATATGATAGAAAGAGACGAAAGTACTTTCGTTAAAAGAAACGAAATATATCAAATTTGTTTGTAGGAATACGGGGGACACGTTCTGAGCTCAGGACAAATATTGCATTACAATACATTTAATCAAGTCAATGTAAAAAAAAAATTATTTCATAATACCAATAAAGTTCTTTAACCAATTGATTCATCTCATACACAAATTATATGATTATAGACAGATCTTCAACTAGCATTGGTCGACCTGTTTATAGCGACGCTTCGAAAGGCTACATTGACTCCCACCATATCTATTACGCAAGTAGTATCATTATTTTATCATCACTTTTTTCATACAAATCCTATCAATCTCATTTGTTTCTGTCCAACCTACCGATATTTATGCCTGAATAAATAATCCTGCTCCAGAGAACGTAGGACAATCACGTGGCCTTGGTAGATGTTGGATCTGCGCACGTTTTTGTACTTGATTGATCTAAATAAGTCAGCTCAATGGATAACCTGCCTATGAATATTCTACTTAAACATTTTTTTCAGCTTTTACTATAGAATTGATAAGACCTGTTCGTTAAGCTCTGGTACTCTTTAACTTCCAATAGCGATACCGATCCCAACTTTTTATTTCTCTAGCTGCTGTCGTAACCTTGGCCTTACGTGGTACCAAATCTCAATATTGAAATTGGGATCTTTGGGTTGCGAAGTATCAACGGTGGATTTGAGTCGTGACTCTGCGGTCATGTCTGACGATCTTGAGACAGCTTGAGACTGTCTCATCGTAGTATGAGTATTACGAAATTTATAAGCACCTGTTATTCCCACATTTACACACTATAATACCTTCTAAACAGCCGAAATAAAGAGTCGGCCTGGGGATCAATATTATGTTAGGGACACTGAACATTAAATGAGTTTATTGAAAGTTCTTCTCCTCCGTTCTACGCCCTTGATTTGAGAACTGGCAGTATATGTAAAATTAGAAGCATTTAATATGTATTTCTTTATTGCCGTTCATAGGTGTACATTGTGTTACATAAATGAATAAATGATTTTGAATTTGAATTAACCAATATCTATAACTGTTGTAAAGTATTACGCTAGAGGCTTATATAAAAACAAAATATTTATAAATTTAGCATACAATTGGGCCTAAATATGCAATTTAAATTACTAATATACGCCGCCACACTCGTTTGTTCCATTTAAATTCGGTTGACTGCAATGGAAATAGCCCAACCGTTTGGATAGATTGTTTGAAATTCGCAACACATTTTATTCTGTTTATCCATTTACAATCTAGAGTACGACACAAAAAGGTACTGTTGCAATGGAACAATTGCAAAACATTTTATGTCACTACTGTTAATGTAATCGCAGGAAGTCTTATGTAAATATGATTTGCATTATATACTAATGTCTTATATGATTTGTGTTTGATTAGTTGTAACACACAGACTACTTTTTCTTAAAAAAAATTGTTTTAAACACACACCATGTTCCACTGAATATGTTATCTAGTTACGCATAACACAGGGGATAGTGTGGAGAATAGCGTTAGATGAATTTTGTCACAACCATATTTCTGTCATGAATAAAGTTTTTATTATTATTGTTATACGTTTTTTAAGAGCACTGTTGGTGTTAAGCTTCATATCCATCTGTCATCCTAGAAGTTGTAGGTTTGAATCCTGGCTGTGCACCAATGGACTTTTCTGTATATAACATTTAACGCATGTACGGTCAAAGAAAACATCGTGAGAAATTCGGCATTTCTTAGTAGAGTGTGTCAGGCACAGAAGGCTGATCATGTACTTGCCTATTAGAAAAATCTTTTTAATCATTCATTAGTTTTTTTGACGTTCATTTATAATTCCCTAGTCTTTCTCTGGCAAGAGACCATCAAATGACACATTGAAGACTTAATTTTTAATTTAAAATACATCGAAAATTAATGTTTGTCAAAGGGATAACTTAGTATTTCATCCCCAGCACGTAATAAAAAAGCTTTCGCATTTTGTTTTTAAAATATATTTATAAATGCCTAGACCACTGAATGCAACATCTAAATTAATTTAAACATTTTCCAGCACGTGCTATGCGCATGTCGCAATAAACATTGCTGGTTTAATTCAGGTTCAGCAACACAAGTCCCAAGTATTTTCCCGCAAGGTATGTTAGACACGCGGCGTCTACACTTGACGAACTGGTGGTTGCATTATCTGAAGAATGTAGGTAAAAACCGGTAACGTTAATTGTATAGAAATTCCTGCTAAAACTGGTATCTTGTCTACGTAGGATAGGGAATGTATCAAATTTACCTAGAGCTTTATAATTCCTATCTGATATATACGTATATTTATATTTAATGCCACTTATTTAATAATAATAATAATCTTTATTTTCTTCTCTCACATACATAAGGTTTTTATGATTAAAGTAAGATTATAACATTAGGAAGTGTATGTGAGAGACTGGTCTCTGTAACAGGAGACCTGAGTGACAGATAACCAGCCTCTCCACCACCGGACCGGAACGCGTACAATCATGTCATTGTCAAAGGTTACAATAGAAGAAAATAAGTATAAAGTGCTAAAGAAAACATTGTAAACGGAGTTTTAAAAATAAATTTGGTGTGTGTTTGTGTGTGTGTGTATGTGTGTGTATGTGTGTGTGTCTCTCTCTCTCTAAGTGTGTGTATGCGTGCGTGGGTGTGTGTATATGTGTGGGGGAGTGGGTGAGTTACAGAATGACAGTTATTAGATCCTCTGTTTCATCATAACTCAACGTCTTCAGCCAAGTAGTAACCTTTTTTTTACATTTGTATTTGGGTAGTGGGTAAATGTTAATTTTTTCGTTTAATTTATTATACAAATAACAGCCTAGGAAACCAAAGAACCTTTGCGAGAAAGAAGTTGTCCATTTTGTAATACAACAGCAAACTTTATGTTTTATCCGCTTGTTAATATTTAAATCGGGGTCGTAACTAGTTTTATGATGTTGTTTTAGAACTGTGTTCAGAATAAATAATTGACGAATTGTTAATACATCGGCTAGGGCATAAAGCTCTTTGGTGGGAAAAAGAAGCGGTAAGGAGTGGCTTACTTTTAATACTGCTCGTTGGGCTCTTTCAAGTTTTAGGAGATTGGTTTTGAAAGTACCTCCCCAAACAGTGATACAATATCCTAAAATTGATTGACATAAAGACTGATAAACTACGTTAATAATTTTTTTTGTCTGCTATAGACCTTAAAGTTTTGAAGATATAAATTAGTTTACGGGTTCTGCAAGAGAGAAGATCCACGTGAGAATTAAAACTCAAGTTACTGTCGATAACTACACCCAAATACTTAATACTATGGGCAAGGGAAATGCTTTTGCAATGGCAGAGTTGATTTGAAGAGCAAGTATGGGCTATGATAGAAAAATTATTATCAGTGCTTCGTAGCTTAGTGATGCACATGGCATATAAGCCGGAAGTCCTGGGTTCATTGGCCAAGGCTGATGTGGTGCCCACTAAGATGGATGAAAAAAACAATGAAAGAGATTCAAACGTGTATTCCAAGCCTCAAGAGCAGTGTTGGCCTTGTGGCTTCAGCGTGCGACTATCATACCTGAGGTCGTAGGTTCGATCCCCGGCTGTGCACCAATGGACTTTCGTGAAGGAAAAACATCGTGAGGAAACCGACATGTCTTAGACCCAAAAAGTCGACGGCGTGTGTCAGGCACTGGAGGCTGACCACCTACTAGCCTATTAGATTTAAAAATGATCATGAAACGGATTCAAAAATCTGAGGCCAAGACCTAAAGAGGTTGTAGCGCCCCTGATTTTTTTTTTTATTTATTCTAAGCCTCGATGTTAAATTTAATTTTGCGCATTCTTAACGTACTATCAGGCTTTAAGAATTCTTTGTCATGTTAATTCGCCAATTATCAAGAACAAAACACGGGATTCTACGGG